GAAAAACATAGGATATTAACATAGCAACCTACTACGTTGAGGACACTTGATACCAACAACTGTACAATAATATTCTCAAACGCCTATGTTGTCCAAAAGATGGGAATGGTAATGGTTTTATCGAAAAATGTGTAGAAGGGAAACAATCAGAACCTTGACATCAGTTCCTCCGGTGGCCATAAACTCCTCGTATATATAAGAGCCTTCTCTCCTTACCCTTCTGACGTCAGGATGAAATTCACTTGATCGGTTCCCAATCTGTAGTAAGATGGGGACAAGCGAAATATATTAGGAAGAAAAGGAGCTAATCAGAATTATGACAATATCAGAATAACCAGTTCGATCCAGAACAGAGAAGTTCTGCAGAAGGATGCAGTACCTTGCGAAACAATTCTTTCATGCCTCCACCTGCCGAGCTAGGGTAGTATATCATTATACTATGGTCATCTCCTAAACACGTATAAAGAATGTCAATAGTTAGCCAATAATAATTTAAAAAAAAAAACTGCAAATCAGAAGATAAATAAAACAAGGAGGATAGCCAGAGGCAAGCTCACCATTGACAGGCTTTTCCACAAATGGCTTCCAGAAGCGTTCACCATGGACCTCAACAAAATCTTCTTCCTCGACAAAATAATGAAGGTCTTGATTTGGTACCTTTCTATTGACACAAGCATACCTAGGAACTGGGATGCCATACATCTCAAGATGCTGTAGATGCACATAAGTAGTTATTTTGATTAGTAAAAGGAAAAATTAGGTAGTTCTTATTTTTCGTTAACGCTGAATCACTCTGAAGAATTTGCACAGAAACAGCTATCTTGCAGTCTAAAATGCTTACCTCATACACCTTCCGGCGATCATGAAGAAGATATTGCGGATCAAGTTCATTCACTAAAAATGGCCTGAATAACACAAGTTTGAAAAATCACACCTCAATAGCCAAACTCATTTAATTTTCACCAAAAAGACTAATGTAAGATAGGCTGTTTATTGAGCCAACAGTGAGAGATAAAAGGTAAAACTCACTTTCTTAAAGCAGCATATGCCTGAGCCTTCTCAAGAGGATATCCAGAGGAATGAAAAGCAATCAAGCAATCACAAATGGGCCAACTGAAAGAGTAAACAGTCTGGTAAAGTTTTGATTCCAGTATATACTTTGTACTTGATATATATTCAGCTACAGTTTGTCTAAATACACTAACAACGAATCTTTCATAACATGAGTTAAAGCCAAAAGAGAGCTCTATTTGGTACAGAATACCTTTCTATTGGATCTTCAAGTATAACTTTATCCCCAAAATGTAAGATCTGTGGATAAAGTTGCAACAAAAGTGTAAATGAGATCATAAATAAAAGAGGAAATGGAATACACCAGGGAATCTACAACGACAAAAAGTGTCAACAACTCTTCTTTAGCAGACTAATGCAAAAAGTTACTCAGAAGCATCTTCCAATAACATTTGCCCAAGAATCACAAAAATACAGGTTATTCCATCAAAAAAAAACAATCTCTCTCCAATGAAAATAAAAACAACTATAAGAATACAAACCAGAGAGTATCAAATTGATCATCAAGTGAGAAAGGAACCTCAAATTCACCAAAAGACTGGAGTCTGTCGAGAATTTCCCCCATGGGAGCTGAGAAAACCTATAAAGCAACAACAACAAGGAATGTATGAGCGAGAACACACGTAGTAAAAAAAAGACAAACCGGTCATCATGGAGCCGTGTAATCGGAATCTGTTGGTCAGTAGAAAAACGCGAAATACGAGCAACAAACAAACAAAAAAAAGGGAAAACAGAACCTCGGAGCCGCATTTCACCTTCTTTTCCATGACGCAGACTCCAATCTTTATCTTCTCACCAACACCACTTGCTCCTTCTTCCATCTCCATTTTACCTTTCTCTCTCTCGTAACGACGTCGTAGTCTTCTTCTCTCTAAAGTCACAGATTCAAAAAATCAAAACCAGATAAACAAAAATAATTCACCAATATAGACTAAATCTCGTCAGTTCCCAACGATGATGATATGATCAGCTCTATGGAGGAAACCAAACAAATCAGCTCACAGAGAGAACAGTAGAAGATCTCCCAGAGAAGAAGAAGGAGAAGACGAGGAGAGACTTACCAGTAAACAGGTGATCGCAGCTCACAAGGCAGAGCAATAGCGATAATGCTTTGCTTGAGAGGGGGAGAAAAAAAAATCCGGAAGAACGGGGAAAGAAAATATCTAAAAGCTGCGGTGAAGCTCACGGGGCCAGACAGAGGACAATTCAGTCGTCACAGGCCGTTTGCATTAAATAGTAAATTATTAGGAGAAAACTATAAAAATGCTAATTTCTAGTCAGCATCCTTGGACCGAAATTGGACCCACACTTGACGTTAAATAAACTATTATGGTCGAGCAAATATAATTATAATAATAATGATCAAAACTTTATTATTGATATATGAACTAAAATATCACATGGTCCATTGTGTGTGTCGTCCATCAATGTTACATAAATAGATATAATGTCCCTATGAGGTTTTCCTATGTATATTTTGGTTAAGACAAATTAATATGTAACAAAAAAAAAAAGTGGAAGGATAAGATCTAGTAGTAGGATTCTAGAATATGCAGTAAGAGAAAGAAAAAATATATGTCATTTAGCTTTTTGGTTGCTTTACAACTTTTCTTATTCCCAAAAAGTTATGTTTTTGCATAATAGAGTTAAAAAGGTTCCACCCAAAAACATATTATGTGTCATTTTCAGATTGTCTGACTTTATTTTGTGTATTAAACAAAATTATAAGATTCTACTACCAACTAGTTCGTTAGGTGTGATTTCTATTTGAATTCTAGGTAACATACAGTATTTTCATTCCAAGATTTTTAAAAGAAAAATGTTAAACGAATAGATCATTATGTTGTATATACAACTATACATGTACTTATCAACTATCATATATTGGAATATGAAGAATAAATTAGCTTCACAATGACTTCTTTCTTCGTACACAAATAACAAAATAATCTTTTTTTTCTTCTTCCCAAGTTGGTTATAATTTGATAATATATTATTGACAATCACTTGTCAATCTCTGCGAAAAAAAAAAATCAAAAAAAATCAAAAACACAATTAGAGGCTGTATTAAAATAGTTAAACTTGGGATGAATAAAAGTTTGTGCTGACGTGACGAATAATGAGACTTTCAAGAAAACTATGTGTCGGATTTTTCATTAGAGTTCCGACCAAAAGAAATCGGAAAAACAACAACTCTGGACTCCCAATGTCTCGAATATACCTAAAGTTTTAATTGGAAATCGAAATCCTCAATTGAAAAAAATTAGGAATGCATAAACAATATTTTGATTATAGATAATGGTAACAATGAAGAAGGAGGTAAGTTTAGTACCGCAAGAATAAGGAAAGACGATGATGTGCATAGTTGCGTTGTTAGGAGGAAGATGCAATTGAAGAGGACAAAGCTTTTCGTTCAAAGGATTTCTACACCAAATCATAACATCTTCCATCTCTGTTTCTTCCTCAAGCTTCTTCTTTAGTTCTATCAACTCGCTTCCATGGAATATCAATGATTTTTCTCCTATTTCCTTATTTATGTTCCCACTATCATCTCCGGTCTCGTAATATATTAGCCTTCCTTCCTTCGGACTTGAGTGGTAAACTCACAATAAACGAATCATCTGACTGATCATGTATCGATGAATGTTTAGTACTAGTATTTTCAGAAAAATGGTATTGGCACGTATGTGTAGTGTATATAGTAGTAGTACCTCAATCCGTGAAAAAGTGGAAGAACTGTGGGTAGACTCTGCATCATCTTTGATAACTCGAATCTGAAGAACGTCAACAGTCCACATGGCCCAATCTTGTGTGACCGTACGACTAGGAATATCGTGTGTGATAGAGTTTCTCCACGGTGGTACACCTTTGTTTGCCCTTAGATATTGTCCGTAGCGACTCTTGAACCGTACGTGTACACCATCGTCTGATAGCGGCTCCCACTCCGCAGATGAATCCAACTTTTCGGGTAGAGTTTGAAGTACCTTGTGAATATGAAACACACATGGCTTGTTTAGCAAGAAACACTTCCACGTTTAATAACTCTGTTTTTGGTTGCGCTAGTCATAACAATTAAGAAATGGGTTGTCTCGTTGTTAAATATTTGAAATATCTCTTGGGCAAGATTTACTTTATCAAACTGTTTATAAATGTTATCAATGGATATGGATGCCTTGTTTTTCAAGAAATTTATTGGAAAAAAAAACCTAATTTGATTTGAGATGGTTTCTTGGAACCCAATCTCCCCTAGATAAACCTACCTTTTCGCCGGTGGCTCCAAGGAGGAAATGGATATTAGTGGCGGTAAGGTATTTGCCGTAACAGCTTTGCAGACGGATCACATTGGATCCAGGTACGATCTCAACCGACCATCTAGTGTTTTTTGTTGTGCCGCGACGATCTTGATGAACGGATTCTTGATCTTCATCGGCACTTAGGTATTTGTCGTTGTGGCTACGGAGACGTACAATCGTTGCCTTTCTAAATATCTCCATCCGAGAACAATAATGATCTCTTTCTAAAAAATTAAGAATTAGGAGACAAAAGGGGATGGATCTATAAGTTATTCTTCATTATCGTGATGCAACGTAGGGTAATATGGTTTCTTGACCTGAGTCTTGTTTTTTTAATTCGCTTGATTTGAGTCTTTTATCGTTAATGGTTTGTTATATGTTTGATCCATGTCAAAAGTTTGTTGAACCGTGGGATTAGGATTGTTCAGATTATAAGACAAGATTTCTAAATAGTATGACAACTCCGAAGAGATTTCAAAATTATAAATTTCATTCAACCAACTCCGAAGACCAGATTCTGAACCTCTTCCATTAATTGAACTATTTGGTTGAATAAATCAAACTGTTCTATTTGTTTCTATGATTCCATCTCTGTAAACGGTCAATGTATATGTGTGAGTCTTTTATAATTCGAATCTTCTGCTCAGATATATGAATTTATTCTCATAGATTACAAGAATCTCTGAAGTCTGACATGTGAATTTCTCATAAAATCATCACCGCAGAAGAAGAAATTATCCAAAACGAAATTTGAAGGAAAATACTAAAAAATCGAAAGAAAAGAAGAGAGATCAGAGTTTGGTTAAGAATTTTTTCGGTCACGGTTAATCTGAAACACGGACCAATTTGTTGATCATCATATCTCTCGTTTCAAACAAAACAATCAAAACAGAAGAAAATCAAATCGAAAAAGATCTAGTTGAAAACGATTAAGATCATCAGAGACTTAAATACTAATAATCACAAAGATTACTCCATCATATTGTTGCAGTATTACCTCATCACCTGATCTCAATTTTGCATTATCTATACGGACCAATACATCATAACTCGAAAACCAAAGATCTAAAGAAAACTAAACTGAAGATAAAATACGAACTTGAACAGAGAACCCTAAACTGACTTGATAAGAGCTTGATGTCTGTCAAAGTCATGTGTGGTTTGTATATAAAGGTCCCCAATGGCGGCGATTCTTAGGTTTCTCGAGGAAAACCCTAACGCTTATGGGTCGTATATGAGCTTCATAAGGCCCATTATAATAAACCTCTTTTGACCCATAAAAACCCCAAACCAATACTCAATTAGCTTATATGGATGGGCTTGACTGAAAATTTACAACTTCTCATTTTTGGTTTGATTCAAGAAAAAACAAAATATTAATTTTAAAAAAAAATATGTACTTGGAACAAAATAATTTGTAAGAAAATCTACATCTATTTAAGGCTTGAAGTCACTGGATCCTATTTTAATGGAAGACAAGATCAAAATTTATATCCTTTTTTTGGGGAGTAGATATAAACTTTTAAGCTTAATTTAGCATGTTTTGTAGTAAATCCAAAACCGGATAAAATCTAATTTCAAACTCAACTAATTCTGTTCATTTTATCTTTAAACAAGTTCAAACACTTGAAACAATAGCTTCATACATACGCAGAATAAACAAACACACAACAAAATTGATAGAATAAAATAAGTTTGGTATTAAAGAAGATATAATCGTAACAAGATTCAAAACTTAAGTAATGACATCGCTACAAAGATCAGCTGTTTCGTTCCGACGTCAAGGTTCTTCGGGTCGTATTTGGAGTGATCAATTCATCTTAGATCAAAAAAATGGAGCAATTCTTCAAAATCCTCTAGAACAAACCGGAAGAAATAGTAATGATCTTGAAGATAAAAATCCATCACAGAAATCAAGTTCTTCGTCATCTTCTTCATCACCACCTCCATACTTTTCTGAAATACGTAGAGGACCAGACATCTCATCTTCTACACGAAACAAACTCGGTTGTGGTTTATCATCACTTTTCCGACAATGTATCGGTTCTTCGGCTCGTGCTTAATTTTGTTCAATGCTTGACGCAAATCTGTACATATATTTTCTTGTTATATGAAAAATTCATCACAATTTTTTCCGACCAAACAGAGTTCTTGATAAATGGGCCTATTATTTTAAAAAGCCCAATAGATATTTGAGTGTCCGGCCCAAATTGAAGTAGAATAAAATATAATTTACCAATTTACCAGTAGTTAGCAGCAAACACACAGAGAAAGTGAAACATCGAAGAGACCCCAGAATGCAAAATCTCTCTCCGCCTTTTTCTCCTTCCTTATTCGAAAATTCTCAGCGTCTTTGTTGCAAACTCCTCTGAAATTCTCCGTCTTCTTCATTCGTTTTCGACTCTGCGTTCTACTACTTCTCGTCTCCTATCAGTATCATCGCAATTCATATTCAGTCTAGTGTGTTAAACCGGAGAATTTGGAGTCTCGCCGGAATTTTCCTCTGTCTATGTATGATTGCCGGTGATCAAAGCGCTTCTTAACGATTCTGTTCTCCTTTGAGAGATCTGAGTATCTGATTTCATCTACTACATTTGTTTTCTCGAGAGTGATAGAAAGTAGGTCTCATACATATTTTTCCTCTGGAGGGAATTTTGATCCTCTGCTTCGTTAATTAACTTGTGATGAAGCGGATAAGAGATGATGTATATGCCTCTGGGTCTCAATTTAGACGTCCTCTTGGTTCTTCTCGAGGCCAATTGTGAGTTTCTCTAAATTCACCCTTCAAATTTCGGTTTTGATCTTGGTTCTGTTTTGTGGCGATTAGGTTTTCTATAATTCTGCATGGAGAGTGACAAATATTTGTTATGAATTGAGTAGTTTTAAGTAATCGATTAGAGATGATTTGGTGCAGATGTGGACAATCTCCGGTCCACGGCAGTGGTGACACCGAAGAAGAAGAAGAAGGAGGGAGCCGGAGAGTCTCTCAGAAATTGACAACCAATGATGCGTTGTCGTACCTGAGGGAAGTAAAAGAGATGTTTCAAGATCAACGCGAGAAATATGACAGGTTCCTCGAGGTTATGAAAGATTTTAAGGCTCAAAGGTTAGCTCTTTCACTCTCTATCGACTTCAAAGTTCAAGTAAGTTTTAGTAGGCGGCATTGTATTAATTCTTCGTCTTGCATTTTCAGAACCGACACAGGCGGTGTGATCGCAAGAGTTAAGGAATTGTTTAAGGGACATAATAATTTGATTTATGGATTCAACACCTTTTTGCCTAAGGGATATGAAATTACGCTTATTGAGGAAGACGACGCTCTGCCAAAGAAGACTGTTGAATTCGAACAAGCCATCAATTTTGTGAATAAAATTAAGGTGCTGTCGAAATCTTGGTCTTATATTTTTCTTTTGAAGTGCGCTTACATCTTGTGTCTCAATGTACAAGTTTCTTTTTTCTCACTGCAGATGCGATTCAAGCACGATGAACATGTCTATAAATCTTTCTTGGAAATCTTGAATATGTACCGAAAGGAGAACAAGGAAATTAAAGAGGTGTACAACGAGGTAATATACTTCATCTCACCTGTAATGCCACTCCAAACTTTTTCTAACCTTCGAATATCTATGCTCCAGGTATCTATTCTTTTTCAAGGCCACTTGGATTTGCTTGAACAGTTTACTAGGTTTTTGCCAGCGTCTTTGCCATCTCATTCAGCAGCGCAGCATAGCCGGAGTCAGGCTCAACAGTACAGCGACCGAGGATCAGACCCTCCTCTACTTCATCAAATGCAAGTGGAAAAGGTTCGTTTGATCTTTGTTTCATATTTTTCCTTGTTCTATTTTTTGCCACGTATCTCAATTTTGTTCCCGCTACAACTTTTTATCACCAGGAACGCCGACGAGAAAGGGCTGTTGCTCTCCGCGGTGATTATAGTGTTGAACGTTATGACCTTAATGATGATAAAACGATGGTGAAGATTCAAAGAGAGCAGCGGAAGCGCCTTGATAAGGAGAACAGGGCAAGGAGAGGCCGTGATTTGGACGATAGAGAAGCAGGTCAAGATAACCTACACCATTTTCCAGAGAAAAGTAAGTCGTCCAGAAGAGCTGAAGCTCTTGAAGCATATTCTGGTTCTGCTTCACATTCTGAGAAAGACAATTTGAAAAGTAAGCTAACTCCTGTGTCAAACATTTTTTTATTTGCTTGGTACCTTTTCTATTTTTTAAGAGTCCCAAACATTGGACACCTTAATTCTTTCTCTTTGAGAGAGAATTTATTTTCCAATTTTGGTTGCATGGTGATCTTTAAGGTGCGAAGATCTGCTTCTGTTTTCTAAGATGTTTACTTTGTGTTAGGTATGTACAAACAAGCATTCGTTTTCTGTGAGAAAGTCAAGGATAGACTATGCAGCCAAGATGATTATCAGACATTCTTGAAGTGCCTCAATATTTTTAGCAATGGAATAATCCAAAGGAAGGATCTGCAAAACTTGGTATTGCAATTTGTGATCAGGGGTTGATCTTGTGGTAACGTTCAGGAAGTTGTATTAAATCCCATTCATTTTCTTTCAGGTTTCTGATCTTCTTGGGAAATTTCCTGATCTGATGGATGAGTTCAACCAGTTCTTCGAGCGGTGTGAGAGTATTACTGGTACTGAAATACCTATTGTTATTTTAATAGTTATTACATATCAGCAATCTTCTTCTTTCTGACGGTCATCCTCTTTTTGTAGATGGATTTCAGCGTCTTGCTGGTGTTCTGAGCAAAAGTATGCTGCTATTTTAAACTTCCCAGCTGTGAATAATATTGTCTCTTTCCCTCCTACTTTGTAAAATCTTTACTGACATTGCTGGTACACTTGGCAGAATTATTTAGCAGCGAAGAACAGTTATCCAGGCCAATGAAGGTGGAAGAGAAAGAAAGTGAACACAAGCCTGAACTCGAGGCTGTGAAGGAAACTGAGCAATGCAAGAAGGAGTACATGGGAAAATCTATTCAAGAGCTCGATCTCTCTGATTGCGAGTGTTGCACTCCTAGCTACCGGCTTCTGCCTGCGGATGTAAGCTTCTATTTCCAAGTTGCATTTTGAGCATGTTCATTGGATTTTTACTTACTGTAATATTATATTTGCAGTATCCGATACCAATTGCGAGTCAGAGATCGGAGCTAGGAGCTGAGGTTTTAAATGATCATTGGGTATCTGTCACTTCCGGAAGTGAAGATTATTCTTTTAAGCACATGCGCAGAAACCAATATGAAGAGAGCTTGTTCAGATGCGAAGATGATAGGTATTTATATTGACAACATACATATTGTAGTTTGAAGTAATTGGTCATTTATGTTAATTACTGCTTATAACAGATTTGAATTGGACATGTTGCTGGAATCTGTGAGCTCTGCGGCCAGAAGTGCAGAAAGTTTGTTGAACATCATCACAGAGAAGAAAATAAGTTTTTCTGGCTCCTTCAGGATCGAAGACCATTTTACGGGTCTGTATGCTTTTTTGGGACCATTTTACAGTTCGTAGTTATATCTTCTCTCTTCCCCTATTTAGGTGTCCTCATATGTTTGGTTATTAACTTTACCATTTTCTTATTGACATATTTACAGCCCTAAATTTAAGGTGTATTGAGCGACTTTATGGCGACCATGGTCTTGACGTGATAGACATATTAAATAAGAATCCAGCCACTGCACTTCCTGTAATCCTAACTCGTTTAAAGCA